TCATATAAATGGGAGGTATTTTGGGCTGGTGGTTCCTAAAGTGTCTACCGCAAAACACCAGTCCTACAAGATAGTCCTTGAGGAAAAGGCCTTCTAGTTTGGGAAGTGCTAAAACTGTATCTCCCTCTTGGTGATTCACCCTGAAAAGTCCTGCAGTCAGGAAACTTGCAACCTGCCTGATGCTGTTTTGTTTTGTTTTGTTTTGTTTTTGAGACAGAGTCTTGCTCTGTCACCCAGGCTGGAGTGCAGTGGTGCCATCTTGGCTCACTGCAATCTCCATCTCCCGGGTTCAAGCGATTCTCCTGCCTCAGCCTCCCAAGTAGCTGGGACTAAGGGCGTGAGCCACCATTCCAGCCTTGCCGAATATTGTTTAACTGAGCAGTCTCCAAACCTGTGACCATACCTCTTCCCTTCCCTCGCTCCATAAAGGTTGCATTACATCCCACAGAGCACACTTTGGGAAAGTCTGTTATGGGCCTGCATGACACATTTTGCTTGCCAACTGTTATCTGTCTGAGTGCCAAATTTCAAAACAGCTTAAATGTTAAATGTCTCAACTGCCTCCCTTTCACTTGGGGATAAACGCCCAGCCCCTTGGTATGGAGCCCTTGCCTGCCTCTTGGGCCTAATCTGTTCCACCTCCACATACCCTTTGTAGCCGCTGTACCAGATTACATGTAATTCCCTGACCTTGCCCTCGCTCTTTTTTTTAAATCCACAGTATCTTGCACAGGCTGTCCTCTCTGCTTGGGACATCCCCTCTGTGACCCCCCTACAAGTGGCAGCTTCCTCCTGCTTGTTCATTCAGACTGGGCCCTCCCGTGAGGCCTTGACCAACCACAGCCTCCTGGCATGGGACGCACTCCCACCCCTCCTGGCATGGGACGCTTCCTCTTACAGCTCCTGCAGCGCTTTGCAAATGTTTCGATTACAGACTGCAACCTCAGGTTTTACAATGTTTTGTTCAAATGTCAGCCTTCCCATCTAGACCGTAGATTCTTGAGTGCAGGGACCACATATTTTTTTCTTCACATCGACAGAGCTCAGGACGATGCCTGGCATGTCGGAAAGGTACTAATATGTAAAGAATACTTTCTCTGTGTCTGATCTTTCTTTCTTTCTTATTCTTTTTTTGAGATGAAGTTTCACTCTTGTCGCCCAGGCTGGAGTACAATGGCATGATCTCAGCTCACCACAACCTCCACCTCCTGGGTTCAAGCGATTCTTCTGCCTCAGCCTGCCAAGAGGCTGGGATTACAGGCATGCGCCACCACGCCCGGTTAATTTTTTGTATCTTTAGTAGAGATGGGGTTTCACATGTTGGCCAGGCTGGTCTTGAACTCCTGACCTCATGATCCGCCCGCCTTGGCCTCCCAAAGTGCTGAGATTTCAGGCATGAGCTACCAGCATGTGCCTGCTCTTTCATATGTGACCTCATGTAGTCTTCCTCATTTCTGTGAAGGAGGTGGTTTTATCTCCATTTTACAGATGCAAACATCGAGGCTTAGGGAACTCAAGTATCATGCCCAAGGTCACATAATAATGAGTAGAGCAAAGATTTGGATCCAAGTCTGTTTTCTCCCAAATCTCATGTTTTTCTTTTTTTTCCTACTGTATGGTGCTTGGGTTCAATAAATGTTTGTTAAATGATGAATGTGGTTGAATATGTTAACAGCCATGGAAACAAATTCTGTGGGTAAAAATTTCCTAAATTGCATGAGATTTTAGGCCACCATCTGGAGGTACCATCTGTATAATTTTTCGTTAACCTTAGGGCCACAGTTATGCAGAAGATATTTATGAATTAATCAGAAAATGTCATGTTGACCTAGTCTTAGGGATATTTCAGTGGAACTATCCCGGAATCTTTGGTTCTTGCTACAAAAGTTCTTCTTTTAGAATAAGGTGAAAATATTGCCATCTCTTTACAGCACTGTACACTTTATAGATAGTCTGGCAAATAACACATTTTAAGATCTATAGATATTTTTCCGAGTAACTGAATTTTAACTCATCTTCACAGAGAAACACGTTCCAGACTGTTCTAGCCTCCTCTGATTCCAGCTCCTATGCCATTTTCCTTTATCCTGAAGATGGTCTGCAGTTCCATACGACATTCTCAAAGAAGGAAAACAACCAAGTTCCTGCCATGGTTGCATTCAGTCAAGGTTCAGTGGGATTCTTATGGAAGAGCAACGGAGCTTTTAATATATTTGCTAATGACAGAGAATCAATTGAAAATTTGGCCAAGTATGCTTTCTTTGTTCTTCAGTGGATTCTCCTCTTAATAATATTTTTTAATGTGGATAATGTAATGTGTATTATAGATCATTACCTAAAAATGTTCCTATGGATTTAAGTTTTACAT